ATAATCAACCTCATTGTATATTGACAAAATAAAATTAAGAAAAAAAAATTATAAAAAAAAAAAGGAAGATATGTCATAAAACTAAAAGAGATTTCAGAGACATATCAACCAATTATTTTTATTATTTTTATTTTTTTTTTATTTTTTATTTTTTTGTCTTTTGTCTTTTTTCCGTGTCCGGCAACGGATCGCAACCCTCAGTGTTGCCCCCGTACCAGACCGGGGACCGGCAACGGGATCGCAAACCTCGGCGCTGCTCCCGCGCCTCGCTCAGCCAGTGAGCAGGAACCGGTCTGTATGTTGGATCCGAACCCTCGGGCGGGAGCGCCGCCGTGCTTCCCAAGCGGCGCACTATCCAGTGCGCCACTGGGCCGGCCCTCAACCAATTATAATATATGGACCATATCTGGATCCTAATTTAAAGAAAGGCGCCGCCGCGCTTCCCAAGCGGCGCACTATCCAGTGCGCCACCGGGCCGGCCCTCAACCAATTATAATATATGGACCATATCTGGATCCTAATTTAAAGAAACAAGTGTAAAAAGACATTTTTTTGAGATAACCAGGGAAAACTGAGAAGGACTAGGTATTAAATGAACTAAAGAATTCTGATTTTATTAAATAGTAATAATTAAGTTCTTACATGTTAGAGATATAAGTGTTTGTGACCGAAATGACATGTTGTCTGTTTTAAATTACTCAAAAAAAAGGTGTGGGTAAGGGAAAGAGATAAAACAAGACTGGTGAGATGTGGACAGTTGGCAGATTTGAGTGATGGATACATGGGTCTTCAAAAGTTAAAAAAATTTCAAAGTAAAAAGTTAGAAAAAATACTAATGTCTGCAACTTACTCTGAAATGCATAAAAATAAGAGATTGACAGATGGATGGAAGGATGGATAGACAGACAAATATGGGAGAACAATAAAATGTCAATGGTAGGATCTGGGTAGTGGGTATGTGAATGTTCATTGTATGGTTCCTTTTACTTTTCTGTATGTTTGAAAATTTTCATAATAAAATATTTGGAAAAAAAGTAAGTCTAGGTATAATTCAGAACTTTCTTTAAATAATCTTAATTCTTATAACTTTTGCCTTACTTAACTCTAGTTTCCCCCAAGACTTGAATAAAGTGGGATTAGTCATTGGAATTCTATTTTGCATGACTTTTGAAAAAATTATTGATTATATATATTTGTGAGGTACAGGATCAAATATCAATACATGTGTACAATATGTGGTGATCAAATCGGGATAATTAGTATACTCATGTTTACAAAATGTAATCAATCTTTGCGACCCTTAACTAGTTTCTCGCCAACCCCCACCCTCCCCCTTTCCCACTTCTAATAACCACATTTCTGTTCTTTTTTTTTTTTGAAAGTTTGATGTATTATGATCCTTCCTTCCTCCCTCCCTCCCTTCCTTTCTTTCTTCTTATTTAAAACCTTCCATGAATGATTCAAAGGCTTCTGACTAGTTTGATAAAAAGCCCCTTCAGCAATCTCTTTCTTTGTAACTACCATACCTTAATGATGTCATAAAACCACCCAATTCCTTTGCTCTGACTCTACATAAATGAAGCAACCTTTGCATCTATATTTGGTTTCTCAATGGATCTCCCTTCTGGGAAATGACCAGTCATCAGCAAATTCTAGTCCATTCAGCAGTTATACAAGGGTACTTCAAAATGTTCGTGGAAAAATAGAATTAAAAGATAATATGAATCTTCCCATGAACTTTTTGAAGTACCCTCATCTTTCTTACACGTGCATCAATGTGTTTCTGGCTTGAAAACAAGCTTAATTAGGATGAATTAAATTAGTTAAATGAGTTGGGTGAATCAAATGATC